CAGGAATGCAAAACGGTACAGCAACAATGGAGAACAATTGGGCTGTTTCTTAAAAACATACACTTACATGTAAACCAGCAATTCCATTTCTAGCTATCTACTCAAAAAAATGAAAAAGTCCACGAATAGACTTGTAGATAATGTTCATAGCAGCATAATTCATAATAGCAAAACATTCGAACTAATCCAAATGCCCATCAGCTGGTAAAGAGATTAATGTCCATGAACTAGGGAATGGATAAACTCTGCATAAATGCATTTTCATGAAATGCTAGACAAGGTTAAAAATATAGTAAAGGAAAGAAGATCAGTGGTTTCTTAGACTGGGAGTAGCTGGAGAAGTTGACTACAAATGAGCATGAGTAACTGCAGTAATAAAAACATACTATAGTTTGACAAATAGTTCTACAAAAGTTTAAACAAATTCGAGAAGTATAGTTAAGTTCTTCTATAAGCAAAGGATAAACTACGTAAATGGAGTCGAGGTTTTCACCAAAAGGTTTCTGCAAGCACTGGTGGAGTCAGCAACTTCACAGGGGTCCCACCTCATAAAGAGTTCCAAGTCAACATCAAAGGTACATTAAGTCCTGGGCAAGTAGGATGGAGGGTAAGAAAGGGACCTGTAACAAGCAGCTCTGAGTGCTCATGGGGGAAACTGGAGGTGGGGTAAACAGAATACAAGGACAAGGACAAGATAGTTAAGGTTTGGCTGTTTGGCAAATTGGAAGAATGAACTCTCAAGTTAGGGAAGATTCTTAAATTTGCATTCACAACACCTCCCAAAGGGTCCATGAACTTATTAGATGGAGAAAAAAGATTTATACTTTTCACTAACTTCTGACATTTAGCATTTTCAACTGTTAATGTAGGCTAAAAAAAACAAAAAACAAAAACCCAGCAATAGTTGCAGTACCTTTCTTTGACTTTGTCACCTAGAGATATCACAGATATATTCATTTCATATTACAGTCATTGCAGCCATCTCAAAATAGCCTTTATATTCATCACTACTTTTTTATGGTAAATGTTTTATGGTAAAATTATGGTAATTATTAGACATGCTAAATCTTGTGACATTCTAATAAGCACATATATACAAAATTTGTTTTAGTATTTTTATAATTATTTCTTATGATTTTGTTTCCTTTGTGGTTCTGTACATTTTGCTGCATTAATTTAAAAATATTTTATGAAAACAGACTTCACCAGACTGTCAAAGGTCCTTGGAACAAAAAAGATCAAGAATCCCTGCAGGATCTCCCCTATCTTAAAACATTTCATAACATGAGCGTAGCTATCTTACCTGAGCAAAACAATATTAACTGATTTGCAATTCTCCTAAAATAAAAAGCCTCCACAATTTAAGACACAGATTTTGCCAGAAGTCCTCTTTTATAGTTCCAGTTCCAAGGCACAAAAGTTTGCTTAGCTGGTTTGCCTTTGTTAGACGAAGTGCCTAAATTTATTTTTTCTCCAGGGCCCCAAAATGTCTCACAGTAGCCTTGGTTTTACAAATTACTCGACAAGTTAAGGATGTCTTTGGCACGCCAACTGTTAAATAGAAGAAATAATATACTGCTCTTATCTGTCACGTGCAGATGCTTTGAGAGTAGACGAGAACAGAGATTAAATGTTTTGAATTACTTAAAACTCTCTGAAAAAGTTGATCGAGGTATATAATTCTCATAATCTCTCCTTTTATCACTTCCAGGCAGCCTCTAAGTTACAGTAAAAAAGGTAAACAAATGGTAGCCTATATATATATAAATTTCATAAGATCAGTTTTTGGAGAGTCATTATTATTTTAATCATCATGCTATTACAGCATTTCATTAGAGACAACTTCCATTAATCATTTATAAGTATATATTACTCTTCTTTCTCAGAAGAAAAGCAGATCATCTGAAAATATAAAACGATGATTCAGAAAAATCACTAGTCATGGATCTGATGTTAAGAAACATCTGAAATAGTTTTAATTTAAAATTTTTTAAATTTTTTTCTCTAGCAAGTTAACAAACGATTTCCCAAAATTTTTTATCATTATTTCCCATTTTGCTTTGCCTTATTTTTTTACATGATCTTTTCCAAATTTCTAATAAAGGGTTTATGCAGAATATCTAAAATAGTATAAAGATAAAGAAATGCTAAATAATTCTAAATAGTGGTGCTGGAATGATATGAAAAAAATAAGATACTTTAAGCTAGTAAGT